CCCCAAAACCCCAAAACCCCAAAACCCCAAGTCCAGGTCTTTATAATGAAATTTTGAAAATAAAATGGAGGAGATCGAGCTAATTGACCATAGTGGAGTCATTCCTGACTCACAAGGTAAGCTAAAGCATTGGAAACCTTTACTTAATCTTATTCTTTAGAAATGCCATTCAGCTTTGAGAAACGAGAGAAATTCACTGATCAAGGCAAGGATGAGATTGGATATGTAGAAGCTACTAAAGATTATGTGTTATATGCTCTTCCTTCAGTTGTTGGCATGCTGCTTAGAAGAAGTCCAGATATCATTAATTACTTAATCATTGGGCAAATGGACGATCCTGCTTATGCTTCAGGGCTGGGATTAGCAATAATGACGTTCAACATTGTAATCGCTTCATTAGGGGTTGGACTTTCAGGAGGAGTTGAGACGTTGTGATCTCAGGCCTTTGGGATGGGAAATAACTACCAAGCCGGGAAAATTTATCCAAGGGCGCAAGTCGTCATGACTTGATTTTTCATCCCTCAGGCGATCATTCTTTGCTTTGCTACTCCTATTCTCATAGCTACAGGTCAGCCCCAGAGATCATCAGAGCTTGCAGGAGAGTTTATCATAATTTGCCTTCCTGGGCTTTGGTGCTGGTGACAAACAGAACTGTTGAGGAGATTTTTGGGAGCTCAAAGAGTCTTCCATATCATCATGAATTGACAGATTATCAACTGAGGGCTTCACATTGTCTGGGCATTCACCTTCGTGTTTTGGCTAGATCTTGGATATCACGGGATTATCTACGCTACTCTGATTACTTTTGTGATGAATTTTGTGCTACCTTATCTGTATGTGACTCTTAATAAATCAAGCGTGAGAGAAGGAAGCTGGCAGTTCATCAGTAGAGACTCCTTCAGAGATCTCGGAGAATATCTCAGTTACGGTATTCCATCAATGCTCATGTTTGCATTTGAAGGCTGGGCTTTTGAGTTTTTGACCTTTATGGTTGGTATTTTTGGAGAAAACGAGCTTGCTGTATTTGTTGTGTGATATAACCTTGTTATGTATGCTTATATGGTTACAGTAGGTTTCCAGCTGTCAATAAATACATTAATTGGGAATAGTCTTGGAGCCTCAAAACCCAAGACAGCAAGAGTGTATGCTAGAGTAGCTTTAATTTCAGTTTTATTTTTGTTCATCATCCTTGCAGGCTCTTTCTACTCATTCAGATACAAATTAGCTTCTGTTTTTGTAAGTGAGGATTTGTATGATTTATTTGCATACACACTGGCAATGATGGTGCCTCTTGCATTTGGAGATTATCTACAGAGTATCGGACAAGGAGAAATTAAGGCAATGGGATACCAAAAATGGGGCACTATTATCTGCTTGATAGGATACTGGGGTATATGTATTCCTTTGACTTATATATTTTCATTTATCCTTAACTTCCAAGTCACTGGTGTGTTGCTTGGAATGCCTATAGGACTCTTGTTTGTAGGAGTGTCTTTCCAAATAATCATCTACCGTACGAATTTTGAAGAATTGTCAAAGGATATAGTGGCAAGATTGAGGATGTCTTCTTCAAATTTGCTGGAAGCTCAAAACGGGTCTCAATAAATCTTAGGCTATCTGAACCCTATCATTATCTTAACATCCAATATCTAATATTTCTCAAGGGGTTTTGGGGTTTTGGGGTTTTGGGGTTTTGGGG